ACAAACAAAACTCCCACACTAACTGCAGTTTTCTCACCTTAATCACATTAACTAAATTGTTTTCTGGTAGACTGGAGAAGGTAGGACTGGCAGAGGTTAAGTCTCCTTTTGCCTGTTGTTCACTCACTGTTTCTTTCATCTGACTTCTAATAAGAGAGACACTAATCTGAGCAATAAGTCTACAATGTTATTTGCATCAAACTGAAGAAAAAAAAACAAACTCTGCATGTTTCAAAATACCTTCAAATCAAAACAATCCTCAGTTACAGAGCACACATCTACCTCAACTTGTAACCAATTACTTAAAATTCTGCCCAGCTATTTAGGCAACAATTCTTGTAAACCTCCATTAGGAAGGTGCAGGACAAAGGACAATACTCTGGTTTGCCAAATCCTTACCTGGTAGGCATTGTTTGAAGTTCTGGCTTATTCACTCTTATTAAGACCTGAGCTGAGAATTTAAAGAAGGGTATGGCTTGATGGAAGGGAGGGAAAATAAAAGAGAACCTTCTGATTCTACATTCTAAGCACAAGGTTTGCTTTCACAGGATCTAAGCAATAAATATCAAAAGGAAAACACTTACAAAATATCACACTCGTTAAAGTTGGGCTGAAGATGCTGCAATGGAAAGAGAGATCTAAACGCAACACCCATATTGACAAAAACAGCTGACACATCAGCTAGCGAAGGAATCCAGGGTTTAGACTGTTCATCACTGATGGAAGCTACAAGTAAAAGACATGGAATGGATTAGTTTTAAATTTAGTTCTTAGCATTATTTCCTTTTAAGGGAAACAAATAAGCTCAGCCTGCATCCATACTACTAGCCCTCATCTTGGAAGAGTTGGTACATTGAACGATATGCTTATTTTCAGAGCGATGAGGGGGGAAAAAAAGTAGTCTAACAAGTGGATTACTTTAAAGTTCCACCCATTTTCTCTCACAGCTCTCTTTCATCACAAACAACGGAATAAGCAAGGAGGCAATATTTACTTCTAAGAGAATACATAAATTACTGTTCTGTGTAGGTACAGGTAAGAGGGTGTTATCATAGTGGGACTGGAAGTGGAGCTAAATAAGATTTGAAAACAGGCAAGTTTTCTAGAACAGAAGCGTTAAACAGATGGAATTCACTTATTTGACAGAAATAAGAAACAATGCTCACTGCAAAAAGGGCCGATTTGCATGATGACTTGTATCTGAAAGTCTGCAAACTGTACAGAGGATTCTCTATAGGACCCTAAACTAGCAATGTAACATCAAACTAGACACAGTGTTTTCCAAACAATGACAGAAGTCACTAGAATTCTGAATTGGGTCGATTTTGTGTCTTAGCTCTAAGTTTGTAAGGAAAAAAAAAAAAAAATATCAAATGTAATGGAACATAACACTCAAGATACTCCAGGTTCAGATCTCAATGTTCAATTCAGTAAAAAAACCAAACCAAACCAAAAAAGTTAAGCACTGGAACAGAATGTCTCAGAATGGTTTAAAGACTCCACAGCTGGCAATTTTAAAGTGATTAGACAACTGTCCAGGAGCAACTACAGTCTATTTGATCCTGCTCCAAGGTCAGAGATCTGCTGGGATCTCTCCTAGATTTAATTCTTTGAATGCTCATTCATCAGCTGGGATCTCTCCTAGATTTAATTCTTTGAATGCTCATTCATCAGCTTGAAGTGCTCATTCAGAATCAAGCTTAATGCCAGTAAAGCACAAAATAAAGCAGGCTACATTCCCTCTCATATCAGCTCACAGTCTGATTTCAAACAAGACTCAAAATATGGGGCGCAATTTGGACAGAAGTACTTCAAGAGAACCACATTACTTTAACAATGTTAACTGGTAGGCTTAAATGACTTAGTGACTTTTGATGGATCTGAATAAAGCGAAGACATGGAAAACAGGCACGGGAACTTGTACTGGAGAAGTATTTGAAAGTACAGATGAAGGAAGGCAAAACACACGAGACACGAGCAGCAGCAGATCCTTGAAAGTGTTTTTGTGCAGGCAGATGATTCTTTTCACTTTTGCCATTTATCTGGAAAGTAAACTACGCAGTGCTACGTAGTGAGTACAACTACATGAAAAACATCTTGTATTCCTTAAGCTACGAAATGAATGTCTGCATCTTCCAAAATAAATGATGGAAAGGAGAGAAAACTTTTGAGCAGACTGGGCTCCTCTTCAGGTCAATCCTATTTGTGAAATAACAGAAGCGAGTTTAAAAGGCTCTGTACCCGATGCACTGCTTTGCAAACACATGCCAGGACCACATCCTGTGGTACAGTTTGCACACGCTCGGTGAAGACCAACTCCTAGCATTTCTGCATTACATAAGTAACAGAAGAGCCTAAATTCATGCCAGGATCACAGAACGCAGACAGTGCCTTCTACTTCCTCCTCAATACCTTTCTATACTTAACACACGGGAAATGCTTTCATTCAGGTGGTCAGTTTTCCATCCTTCAAATGCTCACCATTTTTTAGTGTTATCTCCATCAATCTGTCTAAAATCTGTGTGGAAACACAATAGTCAGGATGAACAGACATCATCTGTGGAGAGAAAAGCAGCTACACGTCAAACACCAAGTTGCATGACAGCATCAGTTTTCTTTTAATTAAAAAAAACAAACCCCCACAACTCTTTGGTAAAATAAAGTAAAAAACAGTAACAGAAAAAAAAAAAAACAACCCCAAAGCCTCTGAAGTAAGATACACCAAGGAGAACAGGATATTGTGAATATTGATTATTTTAAGCAGTGCACAGAGGCTATGAATACTTTAAAATTAATTATTTGCAATATCAGAATGCTGTAACCTCATGTTGAATCTGCTTGTTCATAAGAAGGTACTGAAAGTTAAGAGAATCACAGAATTGATGAGGTTGGAAGAGACTCTGGGATCATCGAGACCAACCTTTGCCCTAACACCACCATGTCAACTAGACCAGGGCACTAAGTGCCATGTCCAGTCTTTTCTTAAAGACCACCAGGGATGGTGACTCAACCACCTCCCTGGGCAGCCTGTTCCAATGCTTGACAAACCCTTCAGTGAAGAAATGCCTCCTAATATCCAATCTAAACTTCCTCTCGTGCAACTTGAGGCCATTTCCTCTCATCCTATCACTGGTTACTTGGGAGAAGAGGC